TTCGAAATCTAGCCCGGACAAATTGACAGATTGGTATTTGACGTATTTGGTGATAAATTCAATACCAACATAATTTCGGTTCAGTAATATTTATTCTTTTAGCGATTGAAAACTGTTATTTTTTCAAAGAGGCAGCGCAAAAAATATTGTATGATACTCGTGTGAAAACTCCATTGCATTACTCACTTACATACAGCGCTCGACTGCGTCTCGCGCCGTATTCCCGTTCATAATGCAATGGACCGTTTTCAACACTTGTTTCATAAATAACTATTTACTAAATTGTTATTGTTTATCTGCCATTAGTGTCATTTACGATCAATAGCGTCCTTGTAGTAATAATTCCCATTCTCGTTCTGTTTTTAGTGTTTTCTAATTGTTTACTTACATACAAATCAGTTCTTTTCAGAACTAACTACTTGAAATTAACAACTGTGTGGTACGTAATCAAATTTGGTAAAATTTTACAAAACGCAGGCACTGTTCGTATTCACACAAACTGTTTGCACAAAACTCTTCTAGAGCACCCCCTGATCACGTTCCTCACCTTCAAATGTTGTGCCACAAAAAATTGTTAAATTTTGCATTCCTGCACTCTTTAATATCAGCCGTTGCTAATATAACCTAACTTTTTACAGTCACCAATGCGCGGAAGGGTAATGTCTGATTTTTAATAGACACACGGGTTCTTCGCGCCCACAGACTATCCCCTCGCGCCATATACCCCATCACAAACATATTCTTTAACGTGGAACTTCTTGCTCCGTGATCATTTAGTTGTTGGAATTGGTGCCAGTTAAATTGCGTGTGTAGTATGTATTTGGTGGCCTATATCGGCCGCAACTATAGTGTGCGAACACTGAATGTTTTTCTGACACAAGGTGTCATTTACACATCTGAAGGTTAGAAACGTGTTCAGGGGGTACTGCAGAAGAGTTCTGTGGAAACGGTTTGTGCGAAGGCGAATGGTGCGTTGTGTGAAGTTTCACACCAAATGTCTATATGTATAAAATTAAGTAGGTACGTTTACTTTGGCATTTTCAGGAAAACTTGTTGTTTAACAATGGTTTTCACACCCGAACAGGATGCTTTCATCCTGATGGCTCACTTTCGAAGTGGAACCCGAAACCCAGACGGAACCTGGTCTTATTCACTGCAGTCTTGTTTGACCAATTTGCGGAAGCCTGCCAACGTTGGGTATCAAACATTTGCAAATCATAAGGGGGTCGATCCTTGTTCATCGTTTTGAGACTAAAAATTGTATTTGCAAAGGAAAGACAACTGTCAGAAAAACTGTTTTGACTGAAGAAGTTACGGAAGACATCCAGCATCGGTTAGAACAAAGTCCAAATAAATCTATACAAAAATTATTATCAGCACAGACAGGTAAAGATTGGTTGTCAGATTTTTTATTTTTTAAAAGTTAAATTGTTGCAGGTCTTTCAGTTGGAAGTTGCCATAAAGCACTACATAAAGTTGTGCACATGCACCCGTATAAAGTTTCAGTCGTCCATGAATTACTTCCACCGGATTTTGAGCGAAGAATAAATTATTGCCAATGATTTAATAATAATTTAAATGATGATGCCTTATTATACTTAACATTTTTCACTGATGAGGCATGGTTTCATTTGAGTGGATACGTGAATAGTCAAAATTATAGAACGTGGGCAACTGAGAATCCTCATTCTTTTGTAGAAACTAGTTTGCATCCAATAAAAGTTGGAGTTTGGGTAGCCATTTCAAGAAGAAGAATTATAGGACCGATTTTTTTTCACAATACGGTGAATGCTGGAAGATATCGCACTAATATTCTACAACCCTTTTTCGAACAACTGCATGATGACGAATTCCAGTATGGTTACTTTCAGCAAGACGGAGCGACGGCACATACAGCAGGAAGCACACTTCGTTTCTTGCAGGAAATTTATGACGATCGAATTATAAGTCAAGGACTATGGCCCCCAAGATCGCCAGATCTCACCGCGCCGGATTTTTTTTTGTTTGGTCATTTGAAGAACAATGTTTTCAAAAATAGGTTGCATACCATTAATGAGCTGCAACAAGCAATAACCCATGAAATTGAAAATACAACTCCTTACACTCTTCAACGAGTATTTGATAATATGAAAAGAAGAGTAAATATGTGTATTGCTAACGAAGGAAATCATTTTCAACATGTATTGTAAATGCCTAAATAAAAACAATTTATGAAATGCTTTATTTTTACTTCCCGAGCGTAAGCAAAGGAAGTATTGTAATCGAGTCCGTCGGCCGACTCTCTACTTTTACGTTTTCTCGATCTTTCATGACCCCTAGAAGACGAAGAAATAGGTCTCCCATTTCCGTCTGTCTGTCCGTCTGTCTGCCGTCCCGGATTTTTATTAGACAGATAATCTCCGAAAGTACTGGACCGATTGTTGTGAAATTTTGTACTTATATTAAGAATATCATGTAGATGGTAAAACGCTAACAAAAATTTGTCTAATCATCCCCACCACTAATGCGATGACGTCACTTCAAAATTGTACATAGTAAATGGGTTTTCAATTGTATAAAATAACATAGTCCTACACATGTAGTTTACAACTCTGAATCGACTTTTCACCCGAAACGTCCAGATTTTTGGAAAAAAAATCAAAATTATAAAACAACATTTTGAAATTTAATTTTTAATCTGCTAACCAGAATGCTTTGAAATGTTGCAGATGTTTTAAGGCTATAAAGAGCATCATAAATCTTTAGTCAAAAAATATTTGCTTATCCCCTCCAAAAACTTGATGACGTCAGCTCAAAAGTTTGTGGAATAAATCATATCTAAAATGTACAAAATATGATGAGTCTGTACTTGTGATCTATCACTCCATTCATATTTTTTGGATTTGCATATACAGGTGACTCAAAAAAATTAATGAAAGCGTAAATATATTTTATTGATTTAATCAGGAACTATAAAACCGAATGCTCTGAAATCTTGCAGATGTTTTAAGGTCATAAGGAGCATAATAAATGTTTAGTCAAAATATATTTGCTTATCCCCTCCAAAAACTTGATGACGTCAGCTCGAAAGTTTGCCGAATAAATCATATCTAAAATGTACAAAATATGATGATCCTGTACTTGTCATTTATCACTCCATTCATATTTTTTGGATTTGCATATACAGAGTGACTCAAAAAAATTAATGAATGCGTAAATATATTTTATTGATTTAATCAGGAACTACAAAACGGAATGCTCTGACATCTTGCACATGTTTTAAGGTTATAAAGAGCATAATAAATGTTTAGTCAAAATATATTTGCTTATCCCCTCCAAAAACTTGATGACGTCAGCTCGAAAGTTTGCCGAATAAATCATATCTAAAATGTACAAAATATGATCAGTCTGTACTTGTGATCTATCACTCCATTCATATTTTTTGGATTTGCATATACAGGGTGATTCAAGAAAATAAATGAAAGCGTAAATTTATTTTACTGATTTACTCAGGAACTACAAAACCGAATGCTTCGAAATCTTGAAGATATTTTAAAATTATCATAAACATGGTAAATTTTTGATCAAAACGTATTTGGTCGTCCCCCCTAAAAAATTTATGACGTCACCACAAAATTTTACTGAATAAATCCTATCTAAAATGTACAAAATATGGTGAGTCTCTTCTTGTGATTTATCATTCCATTCAAATTTTTTCGATTTGCATATACAGGCTGACTCAAAAAAATTAATGAATGCGTAAATTTATTTTATTGATTTAATCAGGAACTACAAAACCGAATGCTTTGAAATCTTGCAGATGTTTTAAGGTTATAAAGAGCATAATAAATTTTTAGTCAAAATATATTTGGTTATCTTCTACAAAAAACTGATGACGTCAGCTCAAAAGTTTGCCGAATAAATCGTATCTAAAATGTACAAAATATGATGAGTCTGTACTTGTGATTTATCATTCCATTCATATTTATGGATTTGCATATGCAGGGTGACTCAAAAAAATTAATGAAGGCGTGAATTTATTTTATCGATTTAATCAGGAATTCCAAAACCGAATGCTTTGAAATCTTGGGAATATTTTAAAGTTATTATAAGCATGGTAAACTTTTGTTCAAAAGGTATTTGTTCATCCCTCCTAAAAAAATTTATGACGTCACCCTTAAATTTTGCTGAATAAATCCTATCTAAAATGCAAAAAATATGATGAGTTTGTACTTGTGATTTATCATTCCATTCATATTTTTTAGATTTTCTTAAGAGGTGGTTCAAAAAAATTAATGAAGTCAATTTATTTTATTGATTAAATTAAAGGCAACACTTATTATTAGTATTACACCCCAACCAACCCAATTTGGTAGACACAAAATTTGTTAAAGGAAGAACTCGGTTGAAACATAAGGGTAGCACGCTTATTTACATCGACTTTAACATTACAGACCTGCATTTGTTTTATGCGTTCACTTGGTTCCGCGAATGTGAAATAGACATGTTTATAATCAACCAATTGTGAATTTCACCGTCAAGAATTAAAATAAAACCCAATGTTTTATATAATAAGCGGAAGTCGAAGCAATAAAACCGATGGTCGTTTTGTTTACAGTTTCTCTGTTTGACTCTCACGTATGCTGTTACGCCTGTTATCTTAAATTAAGAATGTTTATACATACACGATTTTCAGTTGCCTCTGATACGTATACGTGAGTAAATTGTTTCGTTATTTTATTGATTATTACAAATCAATATTCAAAACGACCCATTTCATTTTCCCGAAAATTTGAGAATATAATAATTTTATTCTTAGTATTACACTACATCTATCCCAACTGATATACGTGTCCTTGCAAAAATGTTGATGACGTCATCGCAATTTTTTTTTAAATTCCACACTACAAAAATGTAATGAGAAAAAAAACACAATAGGCATGCAGTCGTCAAGTTTCCGACAGCGAGGGAAGTACTGTCTAAACTCTTTAGACCAATTTTTTCACTATCTCTCCAGGTTTTCATATTGAGCCAGGTTTTTCTGGATAGTAAATTTTTTCTTTGATTTCGAATTCCGGTCTGTTTGTTGTGTGTCTGTCATAGTAAAATTTTTGTTTGTCTCGCGCTTCTTTTAGCTTTAAATGATATCTTTCTTTGTTAATGAGTTGGGGGGTTAACTGTTCTTTTGTTCGTGGCATATTATCTCTTAGAATCCTGGACATTAAAATTTGAGATGGTGTGTACGAGTTATAAACAGGAGTGTTGCGATAAGCAAGTAAAGCTAAGTGGATGTCTTCTTTGTCGTCGATGGTCTTTTTCAATAGTTTTTTGATGGTGCCAATTGTTCTTTCCGCCATGCCGTTACATTGTTGATTGTGCGGGGAGCTTGGTTTGATCTCAAAATTCCATTTGTGAGTAAAACTTATTATCTCTTGGCTAATTAGTTGCGTTCCTGAGTCACAAATCACAATGTTTGGTACCCCATGTCGAGCGAATATACTTTTTAATTTATCAATGATGTTTTTAGAAGTTAAATTTTTGCTCAAACTCATAACTTCAAGATATTTCGAATAGTAATCTACCAAAATCAAATAGTGTTCCTCATATAATTCATAGATATCCATTCCTACTTTGTACCATGGTATTTCGACAATTTCGTGTTGTATGAGTGGTTCTTTAGAATTTGAATTCATGTATTTTTGGCATGTTTCGCACTTTTTTATCATCTTCTCAATTTCTGTATTCATGTTGGGCCAGTAGATTGCTGTGCTAGCACGTTGAATGGATTTATTTATACCAAAATGTCCACTGTGAATGCTATTCAGTATTGTATTTCGCATTGAAGTTGGTATGATTATTTTATTTCCTTTAAAAATTAGATTCTGACCTTGTGTTATCTCATTTCTCAAGTTAATACGGTTTGACAGAGTCCGGTATTTGTCGTTTATTCATAGGCCAACCTGTTTCTATATATTTCTTTAGATGTTGAAGTGTGTCATCATTTTTTGTTTTTTCTTTTAATTCTTCCAATCTCTTATCAGTTATTATGATCGAACAAATTTGCATCTCCAGATCCAAATTGTCTTCATATTCTTCCTTCAAATATGCACGGGATAATGTATCTGCAACCAATAATTCTTTTCCGGGTTTGGAAACGATCGTTAGGTCATATTTTTGTTGTTTCAGCATCATTCTCTGTAAACGTTGAGGACAGTCATTTAAATTCTTTTTGAAGATGGGTACAAGTGGCTTATGATCAGTTTCGACTGTAACTGGTTGGCCATAAATGTATTGATGAAATTTGTCGACTCCGAAGCAGATGGCGAGCATCTCTTTTTCAATTTGTGCATATTTCTGTTGTGTTGAAGTCATTGCCTTGGAAGCATAACAACATGGGAGTCCTTTTTGAAGAAGTACAGCACCTAAACCAGATTTCGAAGCGTCAACGGATAACACAATTGGTTCCTTTGGATCAAAGTATTGTAGACAGGGTCTGTTTATTAGCATGACTTTAAGATTTCGAAAGGCTTCTTCTTGTGCATGATTCCTGACAAAACAATTTTTATCTCTGAGTATTTCCCGAAGTGGTGCAGTTTGTTCTGACAAATTTTTTATAAATCTTCCGACATATGTCACCATGCCCAAAAATCTTTGTAATTCTTGTTTTGTCGTTGGAGGTGGCATGTCTGCGATTGCCTTCAATTTCTCTTCATCTATGTGCATTCCTTTTTCCGAAAATTCATAACCCAAATAAGTGATCCTATTCACTCCAAATTTGCATTTGTTGAAATTGAATTTGATGTTATTTTCTAGTGCGATTTTTAGAACTTGAAAAAGTCTTTTGTCGTGTTCATCCTTAGTCCTATCATGAATCAAAATGTCGTCAGCATATATCTCTACTCCTTCTAGATTGAATATTTCTTTAAATCGTTCTTGAAATACTTCACTGGCTGTCACAATGCCAAATGGTAAGCGTTTAAATTTAAATCGGCCAAATGGTGTGCCAAAGGTGCATAAATTACTACTTGCCTCGTCTAATGGGATGTTCCAAAACCCACTAGCAGCGTCTAACGTTGTGAAAAATTTGGCTCCTTCTAGTTTGACTGTAATTTCATCAATGGTTGGAATTTTGTATTTATGTCGCTTAATTACCTTGTTCAAGTCTTTCGGATCCAGACATATCCTTAACGAACCATCTTGTTTGCGTACGATCACAAAGGAATTTAGCCAGTCGGTACTTGTTCCTATTTGTTCAATGATTCCCATCTTCGTTAAATCTTCTAAACATCTTTTGAATTTTTCTTCCAGAGCGAAAGGTATTTTTCTGATTGGGTGGACTACAGGTATAGCATTTGGTTCAATTTCAATTATGTAAGGTTTACCGATAAGGCCAATACCACTGAAAACTGGTGAGAACTGGTTAACGACGTTGGAAGTTGAATTGATAATCGTGTTAATTGGATTAATTAAACCTAATTCTACAGACGTGGTAAAGCCAAGGAGAGAATTGCGTTGGCCCTTGATGACGTAGAATTGGGCTTTTACATGTTTATTTTTATATGAAATTGTTAACATGCATTTACCTAACACCGGGATTGGTTTATTATTATAGTCAAATAAAACTTCTGGACAGGTTGTAATGCAGTAAGAATTTAAATGGTGTAGAGGAAATTTGTCAATGTGAATAATATTGGCTTCTGCCCCTGTGTCAATTTTGAAGGATGAGCTTACCTCATTAATGGTTACATCTAAAAACCAAGATTTATTTTTATTGTCATTAACAGAGTCAATTTGTAATTGATTTACATGAAAAGCGTCATTTTCGTCATTAACGGTGTTTTGAGAAATTGATTCATTAATCTTTTTATTTTTACTACGGCACATTATCGAGAAATGATTAAGACGTTTACAGGATTTACAAATTGTCTTATATGCAGGGCATGAATTTATTAAATGCGATTTCCCACAGTTGCGACAGTTTCTTATGAACTTATCTGAATTCGATCCGGTCTCGGCCCATTCCTGGAATTGTTGTCGAGTCGGTCCATGTTCTTTGTTTCTGAGCGCCGGCAGGTATGACGTACTTTTTCTAGAAGCGACCTTTGTCGGTGCACGTGTACTGAACTTATTCTGCACGTTGGCCTTGGGATTTCTGACGTCATGGATGGTTCGCGAGGAAAGTTCTTCACTTTGAATTTTTGTATTTTCCCACAGCAGACAACTGTCTATCACTTTCTGAAGAGGTTTATCTTCGTTTTGAAGTAGCTTTTCACGTAACATATTATCGTTCATCCCACAAATTAGTAGTTTTTATTAAGTCGTCGGTTAATGCATCGAATTTACACTGCTTCGCACGTGTCTTGAGTTCCTTGATGAATTGTTCGAAGGTTTGATTTCCTTGTTTGAAAGTTAGAAATTTATAACGTTCGTAGGTTAGGTTTTGTTTCGGTATAAAATAATCGTCGAACTTCTGAAGGAGCACTTGAAGTTTGTCCTTTTCTTCGTCGTTGAATTTAAATGTGTCGTAGATAGAAAGAGCATCTTCTCCCAAAAAGTGTAATAGCTGTGCACATTGGACTCGTTCTGGTTTTTTGTTGGTTTCGCTAGCAATTAAATAGTTTTCAAATTTCTGCTTCCATCTCTTCCAGTTTTCTGAGAGGTTGCCTGTCATGTCCATTGAATTATTCCTTTGTCCATGTTGATGTCGAATTTGTAATTTGTTATTAGCACTTTGTTGAAAGATTCGTGAAACTGGTCACTTAGGTGATTTACGAGGATTCTTCTCCATTTCGCAGCGCCATGTCATGTGTTTGTATTTTGGGAGCCGGGAAGGAAACAACTGTCTCGTGTGAAGGTCTCTATTTGACTGCCTTGTTCTTACAAACATCTCAACACATGAAGGATATGCAACCAACAATACATATCTGTTACAGTTGCAGATGTTTTAAGGCTGTAAAGAGCATCATAAATCTTTAGTCAAAATATATTTGCTTATCCCCTCCAAAAACTTGATGACGTCAGCTCCAAAGTTTGCCGAATAAATCCTATCCAAACTGGAAAAATATGATGAGTCTGTACTTGTGATTTATCACTCCGTTCATATGTTTTGGATTTGCATATACAGGCGACTCAAAAAAATTAATGAATGCTTAAATTTATTTTATTGATTTAATCAGGAACTGCAAAACCGAATGCTTTGAAATCTTGCAGATGTTTTAAGGTTATAAAGAGCAAAATAAATGTTTAGTCAAAATATATTTGCTTATCCCCTCCAAAAACCTGATGACGTCAGCTCAAAAGTTTGCTGAATAAATCACATCTAAAATGTACAAAATATGATGAGTCTGTACTTGTGATCTATCACTTCATTCATATTTTTTGGATTTGCATATACAGGGTGACTCAAAAAAATTAATGAATGTGTAAATTTATTTTACTGATTTACTCAGGAATTACAAAACCGAATGCTTTGAAATCTTGAAGATGTTTTAAAATTATCATAAGCATGGTAAATTTTTGATCAAAATGTATTTGGTCGTACCCCCTAAAAAATTTATGACGTCACCACAAAATTTTGCTGAATAAATCCTATCTAAAATGTACAAAACATGGTGAGTCTCTTCTTGTGATTTATCATTCCATTCAAATTTATTCGATTTGCATATACAGGCTGACTCAAAAAAAAAAAATGAATGCTTAAATTTATTTTATTGATTTAATCAGGAACTACAAAACCGAATGCTTTGAAATCTTGCAGATGTTTTAAGGTTATAAAGAGCATAATAAATGTTTAGTCAAAATCTATTTGCTTATCCCCTCCAAAAACTTGATGACGTCAGCTCAAAAGTTTGCCGGATAAATCATATCTAATACATATGTACAAAATATGATGAATCTGTACTTGTGATCTATCATTCCATTCATATTTTTAGGATTTGCATATACAGGGTGACTCAAAAAAATTAATGAATGCGTAAATTTATTTTATTGATTTACTCAGGAACTACAAAACCGAATTCTTTGAGATCCACTGCGAAAAAAAAAACATAATAGACATGCAGTCGTCACGTTTCCGACAGCGAGGGAAGTACTGTCTAAACTCTTTACACCAATTTTTAACTCCTTTGTGACGCCAATGAATTTAGGGACATTAATGTGCACTATTGCCAATTGTGTATGTTTGGTTGCATACATTTTTGATCACGTGGTTCTCGATCATTTATTAAACTCTCTGTATTAGTACCTAAATCAAACAATGTAAGACAACCTATGCTTGTCCACTGTAATATAGTTAAATCAAATCAACATTTTTACTCCCCATTAGTTCACATGCAACGGTTATATAACAAGTCTGACAGTCTCTAGATTTGTTCGGTATGGCATTGCATCAATTCTCTGATAAATGTAAATATTTGTCGTGTTTGTCTACTCTTTAAAGTATCTGTATTATATTGCTATTTATGTGATTATGTAGCTAGATACTCATGTACTATTTTTTCCTAGAGGGGCTTCTGCCCGCTGGATAATAAATGACTAATTATTATTATTATTTTTAAAGCTTTGATCACGAACAATTAATCCGCGAAGTAAATCCATGGTTACAAACACATTTACGTAAATGCAGCCACACACACAGAGGGAAGAGTCAAGACTTGAATGTACGTGCCACGGGGTACAGTTGAAACTCCTAGTGTGTGGGGAAGAATGTGGCATGTGCAGTCAAGTATGTTGTTAGCGTGCACAGTTA